TTTATAATGGAGTCTTCCTTAAAATTGAGTTCTTCTCTGGGGCTCGGGATATAGCACGGGTTCAATCCCCAGCACTACACACACACACACACACACACACACACAATTGAGTTCTTCTCTTCTTGGTCAAATATCTGTGAATTCTGTCTCTGTACAGGTTCCCTGAAAAAATAATTTTTAATTATTTAGTCATCTTTCTGTTCATGGTACAAAATACCTCAAATAATCAACTTTAAAAAAGGATAGGTTGACTCATTGCTTTTGGGGCTGTGAGGAGCACAGCATGGTGGGCATTGTGTAGAAGAGCAAAGAAAAGAAAGAGTTGGGATCCAGCAATCCCATGCTAGGGCTCAGCTCAGCCCAGTGACTTATTTCCTTCCACTAGGCTCTACCTTATAGAGGTCCCACGACTTCATACAAGTACCATGGTGGGGAACAAGGCTTTAACACGTGAGTCTTCAGATGATCTTCCAGATACAAACTTAATCAATAAAGGTCCCTAGGTCCTTCCATGTATAAATATTCTCATTCAAAATTAGCTGAAAAATTGGGCTGGGGATGTGGCTCAAGCGGTAGCCCGCTCGCCTGGCGTGCATGCGGCCCGGGTTCGATCCTCAGCACCACATACAAACAAAGATGTTGTGTCCACCGAAAACTAAAAAATAAATATTAAAATTCTCTCTCTCTCTCTCTCTCTCTCTCTCTCAAAAAAGATTATTAGCTGAAAAATTTAATTCTCCATCCTCCTTTCCCACCTCCATGCTGGGATCTGATGGATTACTACTTATGCTAAAGAGTGGAGGATAGAGACGGTTCAGGGGAGGTGAGCCTCAGGACCTTATGAAAACTGTCAGCAGGACCATTTCAGCCCAAGGAGAAAACAGACCAGAGGCTGGTGTATCTGGTATGGAATGGCCAATAAACTTAATGTTTGCTTGTTATAAAAGTTCCTGTGACTACTCCATGTATCCCCTTCTGATTATTAAGATTATTCTATTAATAATCAATGGTCCAAAGTGTATAAAAATCCTCATCAAGTTTATGCTTTATACAACTTGACATTTGCTCTCAACTTGTCCATATCCACAGCAGGAAACTATATATTATTATAGCAGCACACAAAGTCATAGAGCATGCTCAGGTTAAGAATTTGGGCATTTTCCTCCATATGCTATCCCATGCCTTTATAGAGTGTTATCATGTCAGTCATTGAATTCCCCATGACTTTCCTATGCTTTAGTGACAAAACCTTGTATTAAATAGCCATCCCTTTGCAGGTAACCACATCGATCATTAGGCTGTGCAGTCTGCCATTGTGTGTCATGCCATCTAAATCCTACTACCTCAATAGTAAGTACTGGCTCATCCAAATGAGTGGGCACATAACCCATCTTGATATCTTCGTGCCCGCAGCTCTTCTATAGCATTCAACTCACCCTGCACAAATGTGAGCTTGTCCAGTTCTGCAGTCTAGAAGGGATTGGGGGTGCTGGGAGCCTCTTGGCCAGCCTTTGCTGCTGCTGAGCATGACCTGGGTCTAAGTCCTAACTAAGGAATGAAGTTGACAATGCTGACACAGAGACTGTAAGTCCAACTTCCAGGGGACATTTTTCTGGATGCTTCTTGGCATCATGTAGAGAATGGAAGCCACACTTTTACATCTAGGAAACCACACGGGGAAGAGAACTGTAACTGGAATCAGCCAAGGCCTCAGTTCTTACCTCAAACCGTGTGCCCACTTTACAAATCTCAAGCATGGGAGCCTCTGAACCATACTTCTCTGATTCTCTGCACTGTGACCTCCAGATGCCATGTCTCCCTAGATACCCAACTCTACCCATTGTCCTTTCTGCTCGGGGAAAATGCTGGCTCCCCCACAGCCCCTCCTGCTCTGTGGATTGGAAACTGTTTATCTAAATAATGAGAGGGAATTACCTCTCAGGGATCTAACTTCCTAAAGACTGCTATTCCATATATTTTCCCTCTTTTAAAATTTGTTTTAGCTGTGATCCTGCGAATCCATGTTGAGCAGAAGAAGCAAAAGTCTGCCTTTGGCATTCATTCTCTTTTTTCCCAAGGATTTCACTAGTTTTAGGACAGAAGGGGTAGTTCTCCTCAAAGTCCAGAGACCTTGAGTCATCAAAGGTTAAGGGAAGGTGAGAGAGGCAGACTCAGCAAGGCTTGGAGAACCTGCTGGGGAGGAGGTGGGCAAAGTTTCCCTGAAATTTTCCTATTCACATGGACTCCAGGGTCAAGCAAGGGGGCTGTCACCCAATAAGAAGACTGCAGGCTGGTTCAGAGGGTCCAATCAGGGGAGGATCCAAGGCCTGTCAGAGTCTTACCCTGAAGAGCCCTGTTCATACCTCACCTACCCACAAAAATGTTTCCTGGTCATTTCCTTCTGTATTGATTTTGATTTCTTTAGAGGAGTTCTGTGGCCTTCTCAAACCAGAGATTTGAAATCTGAAATTATAACAGTGAAAATGTTAAGTTGGGTGGTGTCTCAGTCCATCAATAAGAATATTTAAGGCTAGGTGCCAGCAGCCTCTGTAGTGTAGTATTCCTCCCTGTTACCTTATGCTCTTATCTCTCCAGTGCAATGATAGTCATTGTTGTATCAGACTGCATCCATAGGAGGAAAACAGAAGTGGAGCGGCAATGGTCCATATCCAACAGTATCTGGGCAGTTTACTTAATTTTTGGCCAAAGTACCCACATTTTTTAAGAATGGGAACTGCTTAATTGTAGCATGTCTAGACCAGGTGGCCAGCAGAGACAGGAATATGCAAACTACAACTGGAATCCTGGTAAAAATAATCAGGATCTTCATGGTCCAGAAAAGAAATTTTAGTGATAACAGAATATTGATCCAATAGTCATTCATCACTTAACGAGGAGGATAAAGAGTGAAAATGTGCCATGAGTCCATATATCACGTGGGAAGTCACAGAATGTACTTACAGAGGCTATGATGTCTCCTAAGTTGCTAGGCAATATCTTATATTGTGGGACCATCATTATATATGTGGTCCATCATTGACCAAAACATTGTCACGTGGCACATGACTGTACTTGAAAACTTTCTAGTAAAAAAGGAGTGTGTGAACTTCTAATTTGCTATGGGAGGACCCAATCAGTTCTGAGGGTTGAAGGCATCATGAATGGAAATTGTATAAACAGAGCAGCCAGACAATTTGTCTTCTACAGTAGAAGGACCTGCTTCCTGACGCACAGTATTTTTCCCATCAGGGAGAAATTCAGTGGGCAGCACAGGCCTGTGAGGGAGCTGCCAGGGAACTTGCATGTCATGTGGAAGATCTCTGGGACCTCATCCAACGCCAAACATCCATGACAGCCAAACAAGGTGGATGCTCATTCCCAGCACGTTCCATGAACTAACTTGACTTTACTCCTGTTTGGCCTGGGTTCATTAGCATCATGGAAGACATTAAAATACAAAATGAAACTTCCAGCACAGCACGAATAACAGATGTGCTTCTTGTCAATATGGTCCAACACTGGCAAAAGAAAGACTTAGAATCCAAATGTGGAAACAACCCGACGTCCACTGAGGGATAAATAGATGTACAAAAGATGTAGTCTAGCATGCGTGGGACTATTATTCAACCTTAAGAAAGAATTCTGACCCACCCTCCAGCAACGTAGGGTCTTAGAATAGTGCACAAAGTTAAATAATCAGGGGATAATTACACAGGGGCAAATACTGTATGAGTCCACAGTATGCAAGACAGATGTGGTACAGAGAGTTGTCAAATTTACAGAGACAGAAAGTTGAATGGTGGTCAGCAGGAGCTGTGGGAGCAGAAGTGGGGAGTTACACAAACTGGTTCCATTACATGATATCCCACAGTGATGTCACAGCCATCTCAGTTGAGTATTCTATCATGTTTGCATAACTATGAAATCAACTAACAGCACATTTCTCAGAACATACCCCAATCATTGAGCAATACATGGCTATACCTAATGCCACTGAACTCTACACTTTACAGTGGTTAAAATAGTACATTTTGTATATATTTAACTACACTGTTTTGGTCAGAAGCATAAAGCATGATTCGACTATCCAGCAGGAAAGCAGAAGACTGAGTAGGAAGTTCAGAAAGAGTTCCCCAGTCCCATTGGATGCTGTGTCACATCCCATGCACTCTCCCTGGCTTTTCAGGAAAAAAATACTGTCTTTCATGGGAGATTTTTCCATTAGTCTCTTTATACATGTGATGTGTTCTTTAGGGCAAATAAGTGGTAGTAAAATTTCTAGGTCAAGAGCAATACTGGTATACCAAAATTAGCAAGGTAGATTAGAGAATAATTGGAATTGAGAAGCAGACTACAGGTGATCCACAGGCACCATGACATTGTAAATACTATTTGAAGAGAGGGTGAGCAGGTATAGAGTATTCTATGATTTTAGATCCTCAACATGTCTCCAGGTATCAAGGATGCCTAAGGGTACAGGATGTGCTCCCAGCACAGATTACTGAACACAGTGAAGGCCAATAAACATTCAGCAGAAGAACTTTGCCTAACCTAGTCTTCATATCCAGCCCACTCTTCAGTGTACCTGTGATCTTTTGTACCTATTTAGCTCCCTCTTGGGAGGTCTTATCATTTCTTCTCTCCCCAGATTTCCTTGATATTCTTCTTCCTTTCCTGCCAGACTGAGCTCTGAAAAGGAACTCTCAAAGGGGAGGAAAATCCAACCTGGGTTAGGAGATGAGATTCAAGCAGAGGAAGCTGGTGGAGGGAACATAGGAAGGATCACTCCTCTTTATGGGAGAAAGTGTCCATAATGAGCAAGAGTTTTTGAGGAACAGGGAGATGGGATGATGGCAAGGAGAATCAGGGGCAGATGGTCATGAGCAAAGGAGAAAACAATAGTTGAAGAGGTTAGGGTTTCTGATGGGAGGTGGATTGGATGTACATGATAAAAGGCTGAATTCCCAAAACAGAAGCTTTACTTGGCTTTCTTTGCTCAGCCCCAACAGTAGAACCCAGCCTCCTACCTCAGTCCTCCAGCCAGAAGAGGAAGACAGAATGGTCATCAGATTCTGGGGAAGAGCTGGAGGAGGATCTGCCTGGCTTTTTGGACTCAAACCCCAGGGTAGAACCTGGCCTCCAGAGTGGGTTCTCTGGCCAAAAGAGGAAGAGGGAGTGCTCATCTGATTCACAGGAGGAACTAGAGGATCTGGATCCTGAGCCTAAGCACCCCTGGGATGTGGAGACACTGTGTGGGCTCGAGATGACGTTAAAGAGACAGCGTGTGTACCTGGTGCAACCAGAGCACCATGAAGTCTTTGCCAGGCTGCTAGGTAGGGAGATACCCCAATTAGTACCCTCCGGTCCAGTTCTTTACACAAGAAGGAAACTTCCACTCACTGTACTTTTTTTTTGTACTAAATATTGAACTCAGGGGCATGTAACCACTAAGTCACATCCCCAGCCCTTTTTATTTTTTATTTTGAGAGAGAGTCTCTGCTTTGGGCCTCATTGCATTTCTGAGGCTGGCTTTGAACTTGTGATCCTCCTGCCTCAGCCTCCTGAGTTGCCAAGATGACACATAGTCACTGCACTATTCCAGTGGAAAAGATGTCATGCTAGCCCTGAACTCCCCATGCCTGGAGGACTCAGGACCCATCTTCCCTCAGAGATCCTTAGATGACAGAGGTTATTCTATCTTTGAAAAAGGTCCCTGCTTGGAATCACAGAGTTTGATTCCAATTGTCCCCCTGAAAGTGAACTTTTGCTGACATTCTGGCCCCAAATATCCTCATCCCTGAGAGGTGGGAAATGAAGCCAAGTTCCCACTCTGATGTGACTATCAAATGGGAAAATGACCTGAATAAGTCTCTAATTCGGAGGTGGTGCAGTCAGAGGTAATCCTGGGCCCTCAAGGTTTAAGTTCTTAATCATACTGATACCTGGCTGTTACCCAAACCCTCACTAAGTTGCTTCTCTGTGGAGTCTCAGGTCTAAGCCACGGTCCCTTGCAGGTGAATGTTCCTGTCCTCTTCTCATCCATCTTAAACATGGGCCCCAACCCTAAATATATATTCTCCAAGAAGGCCTGATTCCCTCCCCTCTATCTCACTCCCACTCAAGCCCATTCTGGTTTCCAGACTAACACATGAGCTCTGTTCACAGAGGATCCTGTTGTCAAAAGATTCCTGGCCTGGGACAAGAAGCTGAGGGTGTCTGACAAGGTGAGGTTGTTCTCCACTGGGCAGTGATCCTGCTCCAGCACAGCCTGGATGGGGAGGGCTTTCTAACCCCTTGGTCCTCTATGCTTTCTCGTAGTTCCTATGCTCCCAGGTCCTGGCCCCTTTGTGACTTATCAACATCTCCCTTCAAAGCCTAGAAGCTTCTTGAAGAGAGGACAGGTGGACCTTGCCTCTGCTTGGGTGCTTTGTGTTCTGAGCCTGAGGCCAGAGTCTTGCATGGCTGACCCTTCTTTGCTTGCAACCTGAGGTTCCTGGATCCTCTCCTCTCAGCTCTCTCTGGGACCCTCTTTTCTCCAGCTTACCAAAGACCCCCCTGACACAGCTGACCTAAATGTCCTACCTCAGAAGGGCCCCTCAGAGATGGCCATCCAGTGCACATCTAGGCCACCCCTCCTCCTGACTTCTCTGACTTGCCATCGACTGACTTTGTCTCCCCGTACCATTCCCTGGATAAGCTGGTCACCCTACAAGGCACCATTCTCTGAATAGTGGCACTGTCTTCCCCAGCCTCCCATTCCTCTGTCCCCACATTCCTTCCCTTACAGGGTGTGATCTCTACATATGTTTTTTTTTCTCTCTCTGCATCAGTACCTCCTGTCTATGGTCATAGCTTATTTTAGCCGCGCTGGCCTCTTCTCCTGGCAGTACCAACGAATCCACTTCTTTCTGGCTCTGTGAGTATTTGGCCTCATCCTGTCAGTCAGGATTCATTTTCAGGGATGGTGGGAGGAAAGCAGAGGGGCAGGAAAGCAGAGGGGCTCTAACCTGACCTGAACCTTTTAACCTCTATTGTTTTTGCTCTGGGTAAAAAAAAATAGCATTATAATAATATAGTTTTCTTACAATTCTCCAACTAAAAACAAACACTCAAACCACCTTAAGGCAGGTTTAAAAGAGTAAATGAAATCAAGGGAAACATAAAGCTCACCTGGGAGGAGGTGAAAAGGACAGCACATCCTGTAGAGAGTCGGGAGGGACGGTGATCTGACTACTCTCTGTCTTTCTTCCTACATCTACACCAACATTTATCTTCTGCCTCTGAATTTCCAAGAAAGATGCCAAATTTAGGTCTTGTCTGCACAGCACTGGTCCACTGTAAAATTCTCCCTGTGGATATCCCTCAGCTCATAGTTTTCTATGTATTCCCTGAAAATCTTTCCAAACCTGGGTGCAACCCCCTCTTAGTCCTCCTCAGCAACTGTGTTGCTCATGGCTTTCTAGAACAAAACTGGAGTCCTCGTGTGGCATTTAGCCTTCTCTATAATCTCTCCATCATTAAATACTTTTACCATTAAATTCCTTCTGACTTTCTTTCACTGTTCCTTCCAAATTCCCTCTTCTCTCCCATCACCTTGTGTTTCCTGTCGAGCTGACTCCACACATTTGTACCTAAAGAAAATGAACTATCCTTCAAATCAACTAAAACACTGAAACCTACCTGGGTATGGTCTTGCTCACTCACACTCCTAGCTTCTTAGAAAGCACAGGTGGGAGGAAACTGGAGCCTAGGACAGCAGCCTGACAACAGAGAGAGATCCTGTCTGAAAAAAAAAACAAAAGAAAACATCACAGTCTGTGCTGTGCTTCCTGATCAGTAAGCTACTGCACCCTGGAAGTGATTAAGGCCATAATATTTTATTTCAGTTTACACTTTCTTATCTCCCCTGTTCCTTGCCCTAATGCCATTGGATGGAACACCTTAGGAAGGCAGGGTCCTATCAAAGTATTCATACATTGTTAAGACACTCGGCTCAATTATCTTGATCTTGATCTTGCAAGAATTTATTTTATAGCATTGAGTCTATGAAGTGGTCATTATGGCATTTATTATAGATAAAGATTTCATTCATTCGTCTGTTCAACAGAACATTATGAAGTGTATTCTCTGTGGCCAGGAAGAGGGACCTTGGTAAGAGAGAGATAATATTATGTCTTGTTGAATTAAAAAAACATATGAACCAGACCCTCTGCTAGCTAATTGGTAGGAAAGGAATGACTAGAGAAATTATCCAGAGTCAGGAACAAGCCTGGATACTACCTGGGTATGGTGTGCTCACTCACACTCCTAGCTTCTTAGCCAGTCAGGATTCATTATCAGGGATGGTGGGAGGAAAGCAGAGGGGCACCCCGCTGTGGTAGGGGACATAGATGTGAGCACATGGAAGAAACTGAAGGGAGGGGGATGAAGACAGAGATGTGCAAACTGGTGTCAACTGCACTGGGTGTGAGTGGCAGGAAGGAGCCTCAGGTGCTCCAGCATCAGGTTTATCTTCAGCCTCAGGGTGTGAGAGAGGCCCCCCCTTCAGAAGGCTTCTATCAGGGGCCTCTGGACCAAGGGATGATCATCCATAACACTGGATAGGGATGGCGCGGTCTTGTCTAAAGATGGTCAGCCTGGCCTCCTTTGGGGGAATCTGACCTCAGGAGGAGGTCCTTCCTGGTTGTATCCCTGAGGAGCAACCTGATTTTTTTTCCCCAGCTACCTGGCCAATGATATGGAAGAGGACAACCAGGCTCCTAAACAAGACATCTTTCATTTCCTCTATGGGAAGAGCCACGCCCAGCGTCCCTTGTTCCACAAGCTGCGCTATCAGTTCATCCGTTCCATGGGCTGGAACACTTGGGTTTCCAGGGAGGAGTGTGAGGAGGTGGGTGGTGCTGTGTGTGCTTGTGGGGGGAGAGGGATGGGCTGATAGGAGAGACACGGAAAGGTGGGGTTTGCAGGTGGGATCTGCAGAGAAAACTCTGCAGGCTGCACAGGGAAGGAGTGGGCAGCCTTCAGTTTTTGTTGGGGTTCTTTTTCTTTCCAGATTCAAACTTACAATCCGGAACTCTGGGTGTGGGGCCGAGATCGTACCCTCAATCCCTAGAAGTCATAGGTCCATGGAGGCCTGAGGTCATTGGCCTGAGAGGAGGTATGAAATTCTGTTTCCATGGCCCGATGACGGGGACATTTATTGTCTATGATAAGAGTAAGATCCAAGGAACCCAACTGCTGACCTACTCCTGTCACCTCCCACCCACAGCCACCCTCTACACACCATGCAACAGCACAAACATGCACACACAATCTGAATCTCCCAGTCAGCTTCACAGCCTCAAAGCCACAAACTACAGATGTACTACTGGGTGCTATAAGGCTGCTCAGCCAGACCTCAGGAAAAAACAATTGTTACAGAGGCACACATGTGCTAACAATCCTTAACCCAAACCAGTTGGGCCCAAATGCCAGCTTTGATGAAATGTCTCTGTCTAAAGTGAATAATATCCCATGAAATAGCCACGAGTTCCCCTCTCCCCCTATAAATTAATTGCCTTTTTGTGTGTATGTGTGTGCTGGGGATCAAACCCAGGGCCTTGTGCATGCAAGGCAAGCACTCTACCAATTGAGCTATCTATATTATATTCCTAGCCCTAAATTAATTGCCTTTTTACCCTCTCTTTTTAATTCATTTTGGACCATTCATCCCTTAAGGATACCAAGTATGGAGTTTTTTTTTAGTTGTAGTTAGACACAATATCTTTACTTTATTTATTTATTTTTATGTGGTGCTGAGGATCGAACCAGGATCCCGCACGTGCGAGGTGAGTGCTCTACCGCTGAGCCACAACCCCAGCCCCCAAGTATGAAGATTAATTTAGAACAATGTGAATGTGCCCCGTTAGGATATTCCATGCAACTATTCACATATTCAACAATGAAGATAATTTTCATTAACTCTATTTTCATCCCAGTTTGCTTTCAAACAAATGGCTTACAGACAGAACTAACTCCTGAAGGTATTCTGTCCACTGATTCACTGCTTAGGGGATGAAACTCTCCTCTCCCACAAAGATATCATTCCCCCTCAAGTTCATGGTCAAGGAAGTTTGTCAGAACCACATCAGGTTAAGAAATATCAGGGCATCTTCTTACAAGCAATACATCAGAGTTACAAATTTGGGTAAAGCATAAAGCAAAGATTTGGTTTAAATCATGTGCAAGCAGTCAAGTTAGGAGCAGACATTATCTGGAATTGTTAGGGATTAGATAGGGATCAGTCAACTGGTACCCTGGTCCTCAATGTTGATATGTTATTGATTTTCAGTTCAGATGTGAAGTCATTGGCAAGGACCAGGATGTGACTTATGGCCAAGTCTCCGTTAGTGTGCTCTAATCCACCAGCAGAATCAACTCAAGTCTTTGCAATGAAGCAGAACTCTGGGCCTGACCATATGAAACATATGAAACACCTTTTAGAGTTGGGGTCAGTAAAGTATGAGAACCAAAATTAAAAAGATGGTTCAGAGCTGGTGTCAAGAATGGAGGATCAGAGATAAAGGTTTGTAAGTTGGTCTAAGCTCTAGTTAGGGCTGGCTCAGTGTGTAACTCACCTTCATGTCTAGAGAACTGGGTCCATGAAGTCTAACAACTCCTTCTTCCTTCCAGATCACTGGGGGAGACACATTTTCAGCAGAATGTCTATGGGGACACAGGGAGTCATGAGAAAGGAAGAGAAGAACCTCTGTATAGATAGTCCAGAAGAACCAAGACTCTTCTAGAACAGCTGCATGTTTGCTAGAATTGTAATCCTGGGAGCTGGGGGTAGGGGGGATACTTCCCCTGGGAATGATGAGAAACTGGTTTCTTCTGGTTCCATGGTTTCCTGAATCACTCCCTACATTTTAGAGTGTTGAATACAAATCATCCTTGAGGTAAAATGTCAGAGTCCTACTTTTTATATACAGTTACTACAGTCTAGGACCATTTGAAGATGGCATGCAGGGGTTCTGGTGGAGAGGGAATTACTTTTAAACAAGAAATTAGAACCATAGTATTGTTATACTTTTGCTACATATTTCGCATTTTATTGGTTTATTTTGAATACGTTGGCTACTGAATTATTACTCTATTGATTTTAAATAATTTTAAGATAGTTATTGCTTTGAAAACATATTGTTCCTAATCAGTTATATGATGGGTGTTTTATCTGTTATATGTACCCAAGTATTTTCACTTTTTAATAGAGATTTTCCTCTTGTTATCTTTTTCATTTATATATCTATTATATTTTAGTTCAGTTGTAGTACCCGGAATTGCTGTACATATAAAGTTTCATTTGATGTTTAGTCTTCATTATTTAGTTGTGAACAATGAACTGTCCTTTTTCAACATGCCTTGACACACTTGTCCTTCATTTTAAAGAGGGTGTGTATTTTAGGAGAACACATGTGCTTCATGATTTTGAAGAGCACAGCACAGCACGTTCTTGGGGAAACTTAACATAAGATAAACACCTTCTCACCTTCGTGATGCATGTGATCATGTCAGTCTGGACTGCTTCTTTGCTGTCAAATGACACTGTTGATTAACGGGGTTCTTGTTAATTAACCAAATTTCTTAACTCTGAAAATGAATCCTCAGTTGCTTTTCATACAGGAAAACAACAGATAAGGTGGCAAACCCTAAACTAGAAACTAGAAGCAGAAACAGGGAGGACTTTGAGGGAGACAACCCATTTCAGAGAGATGACCCTCAGGGCTTTCAGAAGCACATTACCAGCTGGAATGCAGGCAAGAAGCTTATTTCGCTTTTCAGGGACAAAGAAATATTTCAATCACTGGTTTTCTCAAGGAAATGCTGTAAAAAAATGGAGAGAAGAAAAGGTCTCTACCTATTGGCAACATGCTATATTTAATCTTTTATTCATTATTTAGTAAATAATTTCCTGATTTTTAGTGCTTCAGATGAAACCCAGCTGGACCAGCACTCCACCAGTGAGCACACGCCCCCAGCCCAATCATTTTTTTTTAATTCAATGAAATTAACAATATCTGGGCTGGGGCTGTAGCTCAGTGGTAGAGCACTTGCCTCGCATGTATGAGGCACTGGGTTCGATCCTCAGCACCACTTAAAAATAAGTAAAATAAAATAAAGGTATTGTGTTAATCTATATCTAAAATATATATAAATAAGAAATTAACAATATCCAAGAAAATGGTCAAGTAACTGAACTAACCAACAATAACGCACACAGGATAATGCCACACTATATTTTAATATAAAAATACATTCTCATGAAAAACCTAGAGAAGAGAAGAATTTATATGATAATCACTTCTGCTCCAAAGGGGTTTTAGAAGAAAATTAAAATGTGAAATAATATTAGCAAGCACACTGAAAGGGACATGCTCTTAAGATAGGACAAAAAATACCCCCCCACCCCAAGAACAGCAAGTTTTTTGTCTGTATGGTGTTGGGCAAACCAGGGAGGCTTTTTTCTGTGATTTACTTTCCTTGTTTGACATTAGAGACTCACAGTTGTAGGTTGTTGGTAGGTTATGACTGGTGTCAACCTCTCCAGGCTCAGTAGCTGGATGGGTGGGTCAAACCTCTGACCCCACTCCAGTGCCTGCTTGAGCCAAGAGAGCTCACCTGCCCTCTGCACACCAATGCAGGTGTGTCAGATGCCATGGAAACAAAAATCCTTGCCAGGAGCTGGAAAAAGGACCTGGATGGGATAAGCCAGTTGGGAACCAAGATGGAGCGAGAGATCAGGGTGAGGAACCAGAAAAGAAAACCAAGCTCTGGAATGATGGTTTCCAGATGTGTGCTCTCACCTAAGAGGAAGTGGGGAGGGGCCACATGGAAGGGAGCTGCTTAGCAGATGAATTTGGGGACCCCAGCAGCATACCCAAGCTTCAGCTCCAGCCGTGACTTATTGCTGTGTGTGTGTGACTTGGGCAACATTCTGAGCCCAGTTCCCTTGTCTAAAAAGAGGGGAACTAAGTTTGAAACCAAACTCCATATCTCTCCCAGTATCCCTTCAACCCAAGATTTAACAGAGCTAGGATTGACAAAGCAGAGAAAACTTATAAGCACCAACTCTCACAGAGCAAGCAAAGAGAGTGAATTGGCAAGTGAGAGGCAATAAAAGCATAAGGAATGTATATCTATGCATCAGCACATCCAGAACTTCATTTCTTCTTTAGACCAAAAATATTCCTTCATATGAATAAAACATATTTTGTTTACACATTCACCCACTGATGGAAATTGGTGTAATCTCCCCTCTTTGGCTGTGGTGAATCATGCGGCTATGACCGTGTGTGTACAGATCCTTGTTGGAGTACCCTGGGGTATGTATGCAGGAGTGGAATTGCTGGATCACAGGGAGAGTTGTGTCCAGGAGCCAGGAAACTATTTCCTACTATTTTACATTCTCACCACAGTGTTAAGGGAGTTCCGGTTTCTCCACATCCTTGTCAGCATTTGATATCATCTCTTTTGTTTTAGCCATCTTGTATGTGTGATGTGGCTTCTCATGGTGCTTTTAGTTTGTATCCTGCATTGATTTTGTCCCTTCCTCGCAAAGAAGTTGTCCACTCTGAGATACTGAATCAATTCCCTATTGTTTTTACACTAACTTTTATTAATTTTAATTTTTTTTCTAACATAAAATCTATTTTTCCAAGCAAGTTGGTAAATAGTCTCTTTCAGTTCACAGACTTGAACTCTATCTTGTGACATAAACATGCACAGTTCTGTTGGTGAGAGATTAATGGACTAGCACCTTTATTTATGGTTCTTCATAGCTTTTTAAAATTTATTTCTATCACCTAATATCTGTCAGCATCCATCTTTGATATGCCTCCACATTTAAAGATAAATACTGTTAGTATTTATATTTCAGATAATCTTTCATACTTTGCCAAATTCCCTTCAAAGGAAACCACTAATAAGATCATAATGGTGTATCATAAGTCTGTACCTCTTGATCAAAACTAGTATTTATCCAAATGACTTCACATGAATTTGTGAAATGTATCCAAGTTTCTGTTATTCAGACTCTTAAACCTGAATTCAAAACTTGATTGGAATTGCCTCATGGGGGGAAAAGACAATATTTATTGAGGTTTAAGTAAAGATCAAACAAGGGGGAATTGGATGGGTTATAATCTATTACCTCTGCAGAATTTATTTTCCTGAAGTCATCTGCTTTTCCTAACCATAGCTCTCTCACCACTTTCCAAAGAGGAACAGAAGATATAATTCTACCACTCCATCTATAAGCTTTTTAAAAAGCTGGACTCAAGAGAAGTGACAAGTCACTTGTTAGATTAAACAAAATATTTCCACACCTGGAAAAACTCATCCTGAATGAGAGAGACAACACACAGGCACAGTCGTAGACACGAGGTCCTAGCAACTCACCCCACTAAGAATACAAGGTGAAAACAGAACCATTTCTAACATGGCTCATTTTGGCCATCTGCATAGTACAGTATTGTTTTTCATGAATCCCTCCTCAAGAACAGATATGTTCTAGCCAATCTCAGAAAATTAATTTGTGCTGAATGACAGTCAACACTTTAAATTAAAACCCAGAAATTTTGCATATAAAAACCTTTTGAATTTCTGATAGAGATCTAAAATCATGATGCACTAGGTATAGTGGTTTGGATCTGCAGTGTCCCTAAAAGGCCCATCATTGAAGGCTTGGTCTCCAACTTGTCATGCTAGTAGGAGGTGGTGGGAACTGTAGGACATGGGGCCTAATTTATTTAAGAGTTAGCATGCTGTTGAGGGCATATTGGGACACTGGTCCCTTCCTGTTTCTCTCTCTTTCCTCCCTGGCTGCCATGAGGTAAATAGAACCTCTATGCCACATGCTGCAGCCATGATGCCCTAAGCAACAGGACTGAGCAAGGGTGGATTGAAACCTCCAAGACCTTGAATCAAAATAAACTTTTCCTTTTTTAAAGTGGATTATTTCAGGTATTTTGTCACATGTAACAATGCACTAGATTGTGCAATGACAACATCTCAGAAATCTTAATGCCTTCAAACAAGAAAAGTATACTGTGTGTACCCTATGTCCTCAGTAGACGTGCAGACAGTTTGTCATTGGGTCCTTGAGAAACACGGGCTAATGAAATGGCCACCATCTCCAACCTAGGTGGTTGTTGCACCAGAGAGAGAAGAGGGCTTTCTCCACATCTCACACTGGAAATGGATTATTCTGTGTTAAAGTTCATGAAGGTGATATTGGCTATTAATGTATTCATATCTACAGCTGGAAAATATACGCTGTTTTAGCAGAGGCATAGAGCATGCTTGGGTGGAGAATTTAAGTATTTTCTTCCATATACCACCCCATGTCTTTATATATGCTGTTATGTCAGTCCTTGAATTCTCCCACGAACTCCTCCCTATACTAAAAATCAGGGGCTGCGGTTGTGGCTCAGTGGTAGAGCGCTTCCCTAGCATGTATGAGGTACTGGGCTCGATCCTTGGCACCACATAAAAATAAATAAATAAAATAAAGGGATTGTGTCCATCTACAAATAAATAAATATATATATATTTTAAAAATCCAGTACCAAAGCCTTGGATTTAACAGCTGCCCTTTGTAGACAACCACACGGATAATTCAGCTGTGCACTCTGACACTGTGTGCCATCACCATCTGAATGATCTGAATCCTTGTTGAGGGAGTGAAAGTGACAATTGGTGACTGAGAGACCACACGTCCAACCTCCAGGAAACATTTCTCTATGTGTTTCTCTGCATCAGGTGGATGATAGAAGCATTCTTGGATGTCTAGGAAGCCATGTGATGAAGAGGGGCAGAGTCAGAATTTGCCTGAACCCCAGTTCTCACTTCCTACTGTGCACCCACCCTTCTCAGCCCAAGACGGGGGGGGGGGCTCTGCACATTGCCACTCTCTAGTTCTCTGCACGATGACCTCAAGCTGCCATGTCTCCTTATATATCTGACTCTGTCCTTTCTACACTGGGACAATGCTGGATCCCCCATGTCCCCACCAGCTCTGTAGATTGGAAACTCCCCATCTGGGAAATGAGCTGGGCTGGCCTCTTTCTCAAT